AGGTTTGTGTCAACAGGAGACCAATTAACCAGTGCACATGAGATTAGAAACCTAGTTGGTAAAGTGGGAGCAAAGACCTTAAGAAAATGCTGACAGGAATCATCTAATTTCTCCAGGCTCCTCGAGAAAGACAAACAGTGACACAAAGAGAAAATGTGAGCCACGGCTCAGCGCAAGAATTCAGGACATATTAATGTTCAAAATTATCATGATTATTATGCATACCATTTAATTAGAATTTTTGGCTCCAAATAATTATGATTTTCATTCCCATTTCATGGGGTTTTTAAACAACTGGCTTGTTAGCTACAAATCCTTCTCCTAACCCCACGACCTTTAGCTGAATGTAGCATAAAGCAGAGAATACTCAATACAGACTCAGTGTCTCTGGCGACTTCATGTTATGTTCCTTAAAAACACTAAAGTCTATGTGTTTAATGTAGGACCTAGAATTCCTGATTGCTGAGACACTACCCCAGGACTGTGTGTTTAAGGAAGTTGTTAACTGCTTCCTACGTCTACAGAAAGGGCTGCTGTCCCAGGAGTGGAATTCTGAGCAGCAGAGAACTAAGTGACCTTATTATTTGCTTGGAGAAAGTCTTCTCAGCGTGCTCATTGGATTAAAGGACTAAACAAACCTTTAAATTTTCATAGAAATTAATAGATAGATGAATTTTTCATTATTTTCAGAAGTTCTCAGTTGGAGTTCTTTTTATATTTATTGACCAAAAATATTTGAAGAAGCAGTTTTTAATTATTCTTTATGGCCAGTTAGTACTTTTTAAAAAATACAAATGAATTTCTGGCGCCCCCTCATGGTTAGAAATTGTAAGTATTCGATTATGGGTACTAGTGACACGCTTTGGGGTGAGATGTTTTCCCAACCAGTTAAGAGGGTTTGCCTAGTGCCACCAAAAAATAAAAACCTAATATCTGTACCATGTTGTCTTTTATACCAGAAACAGCAGCGAGTATCTTGAGGCATTAAATTAATCTTTATCTGCAGAACTAAATTAAGGAATGATACCCACAGAACCAAAGTGGCTGAGAAACGCTGCTTATAAAGCTTCTTTCTAGACAGTACATTCGATCCAATAAGACTGGATGTGGGACTTTTAAGACACTACCTTCAAAAAGAGCAAGGTGTAGTCTTAGCATTGGCTGTGAAGGTACACATCTGGACATGACTCTAGTTAGAGCCATTGGGCAAGAGGGAAACACCTAAGGTTTAGCTCCCTGTGAACATCAGGTTGTTAATAATATCACGGCCCTCCACGGTGCCGATACAGTGGGAAACACCACCCTAAAATTTGGCAGCATGAGACATTACTGATAAAAAAAAGAAAAGACTAGTATCGAAGAGTCTAACTGAGGACTAACTGGTGATCAAGCCACAGTGTAAAGTTCTCTCAGACCAGCTGGGCTGGCTTTCCCAGAATAAAGCCCTCAGTCTCAGAGCTCCAAGTGATCACACCACACACATTCTGGTTTGTTCACTTTATTTTTACAGCACTTCAAATGACAACCGACAACGTGGTGACTTCCCACCTGCCCTGACCAGGTCTGACTCCACAGGGACCGGGGCAGGCGGACGTGTGCTTCTGGAGAGCGTGACACGCTCACAGAAGGATCATTGGAAATGGTTTATAATGTGGGATAAGGAAAGGAAAGAGACCAACATTTCAGTCATTTTTAGATGACTTCACAACAAAACATAATTTACATAGTAACTCTTTTATGCTAGTATAAAAATAGTGCCAGAAACTATATATTTGTTCAGGTATATTGAAAAGGCATAAGAATACAAATAGATCATCAACAGTGGCGAGTGATGGTTCATTCGAGTTCTTAAACTGTAATAGAAATTTATATTTTTCAGCTATTTACATTACTTTCAATGACATTCAAGACATGTCTACACAGGCTTTTGATAACAGTGTGGAAGGGTGAGGTAAGCTTTAATACTTCTTTCTTTGCTCTCTGCGAGAGGGCAGATAGGGTCCAAATCTACAGTTGAATAGTCTGTGAGAACTCTGACACCTCTCTCTCTCTCTCTCTCTCTCTCTCTCTCTCGCTCTCGCTCTCGCTCTCGCTCTCGCTCTCGCTCTCGCTCTCGCTCTCGCTCTCGCTCTCTCTCTGGCTGCAATATGGAAACATGACCTATGTCGTGGAAGATGTGATTCCTTACGTAAGGTGTTCTTAAAGCTATCAGCAAGGTAAATGGTAATTGATCCACGCCAACAGGAAGACAGAATGTTCACCGACATATTCTTAAGAAATGTTGGATGAAAGTGCATAGTGTGTACGTTACAGATGAAGAGGAACGTGGTAGAAAGCCCCGCACGCTTGCATATTAGGTTGGTGGGATGAGAAATGATGCCCTTAATCATTTCCTGGGTGGTTCATGAACTCATAGGACTTCCTGCTGTGTTCCAGCATCTGAGCACAGTACCTAACATAAGGAGAGGATTTAATAAAAAAAAGAAAAAGGGCTGATGCATGGTTGGTACTCAGTAATTAAATTCTACCACCTTATCTGAGCCAGCTGTTTATAGGAGAGAAGGAACATTTCGTCTCTTCTCATTGTAAATGAAGTTAAAGAAAAAGGCCATGCCGCTTACCTGATAAGGTTTAGAAGTGTAATCTAGTGAGAAACAGGAAATTTGGAAATGTAATAGGTGCTAAGCCTCACACTTCAGCAACGTTCTGAGAGGAAAGGCACTTAGCTGGCAGGCAAAAATTTCTGTGACTCAAGTTCCTCCAAGAAGCCAGTATTTCCAGTACATTTTCATATATACCCTTATCTCCACGCTGCTGCTAAAAGAAGTTCTTTGTCATAATTAGCTAACCAGTGACAGAGTATCATCCTACATTTATGCTCTGAGCCAGGTCTGTGTGGAGTGAATTAATAGTATTTGTTGTCCATCTAAAGAACTCAAGGAAGAAACGACCAGCGCAATGAGGTCATTACCTCAATACCCAATTTTTTCCGACAGTGGTCTTAAAGGCCCATGAGGAGGGCTTAAGAGCTAGCTGCTTCCTGGAACATTGCCGTCACACACGGGCTTTGTCCAAACCTAACTACATGAGGAACACAGCTTCCTTAGGTGCAGAGGTTAAGCATCCTGACTGGCAAAGGCGACTTCTAAACTTGTAAGAACAGAAAACTTTACAGACACGTTACCAAACCATGGGGATTTTTCTGGCTGAAAGTTAAAATGAAATGATACCATATTCTTTCACTACAGCCAGCCAAGCAATCTGTCAAGTGAACAGTCCAGGACAAGAACACTTTCTTGTTCATTATGAGCATTATTGATTCATGGCAGCATGAGAGAGGAATTATAACAATAAAATGTTATAAATAGAGTCCAACTTGAGTGGATACTAGAAAGGCAATATTCACATTAAGACCAAAACCTATGATTTGTGTTCTTGTACCACAGATAGAAATCCATGTATGGAGGAATGGTTTTCCTATAAAATAAAAATTATTTGAATAAAATAGCATTCTCCTCTGTCTGAACTAAAATACCCACCAAAAAAATATCAAAGGCATGGTAGTGCTTTTCCTATGTTAATGTCTAGAGTAAAACAAACCATTACCTAAAGCAAGCCAAATAATTTCCAGTCTTCTTGATTGGAAACACATGACTTCTTGCCTGTCAATATGTTAGACAAACTCCCCACATATAATCTGTCATCTTTAAGAATAGTCTTAGTGATTTACGTCAGAGGACTGTGGAGAAGGTTCACATGTATATGAATGCATTTCAACACAGCTGCTCAGTCACAGTGTGTGGGGCACAATGCCAGGCTTGTAGAATGTCCTCTAAGCCGCTCAGCTATACTCTGCATAGGCGTACACAAGTATGCTGATATGATTATTATTAGTTACAGTCTGTATCATTTACACACCAGTGCATTAGATCAACCTCACGGGTTTCATCTATATGACATGAAATAAAAATAAAATAAAATTCTGAAAAAAAATACAAGTATTACAACAAGAATACATTTAGCATTGGGCGAAAATTCCCTGGATTAGCCTTGACCAATACAAAACAATATCAGTACAACCTGCTTTGCCTTTTCATATCTGAGGAAGAACAAAGCCATAATAAAATATACATACACAGGATTAAAATGACCATGTTGAACTTTTAAGCAAAGAGAAAAGGGAGAAAGAAACCGTTTTAACGCAAATTGATGCTAGAAACCCAGACCAAATACTTTGGCTTCTTTGGGAGGATGTGGGAAAGGGGTGGGAATTAATATATCAAATCCTAATTCTGCCCAAACACAAACATTTCTGCACATCTGGAACAGATAGATACTCCTTCCCTAATGCAGCTGCTTGGTTCGATTCATTTTCTATTTTTTTTTGGGGGGGAGGGGGGTCATGTGGCCCGGGGTTTAGACGCAGTGCTGAGACTGCATGCTGAAGGGCGGCGGCTGCATGGATGGGCTAGAACCACAAAGATGTACCGCAAGTTCTCCCCATCCCAGAAAAAGCAGGGCAATTAGGTACCACATTTTCTTGTATCACAATTCTTCAACTTTAAGGTTAAGACACTTCTGACAAGTTAAAAGATACTCATTTCTCCCTAACAGCCACTCAGCATTAATTTCAGGATGGCTTTAAACGTCCCTGAACACATTCGGTTCGCCCCTAACCCACTTTTGAGAACGATTCCTAACGTGTTTTGAAAGACTGGTGACTCAGAAACACAAAAGTCAGTTATTAATAATCCCCAAGCATGACAACGCTGAGTGTAGGAATGTCGTTTACACCGTTCTTATCAGAGCGTTAGAGCGGGCATGACTGATCGCTCCACTTCAGTGGCATGAAACAAAACTATGGAAAGCAGGTAGCAATCTCTGAAACATTTCACGCTCTCAAAAGTTGTGCAAAAATAAAATACAGTAGTGGCAAAGTGCACTCAAGTCTGCATAGTGTATGGCGGAACCAGGCATTTTGCACACGGTGTGTGGGGGGGTGGGTGGGGGCGGGGCTGAGGGAGGCTGTCAGTCCCGCTTGGCCTGGCTGTTCTCCCCATTAAAGAGCATCTTCTCATGCTGCTCTGCGAGGGCCTGCCATTTCTGTCTGTTCTTCCGGCAGCCATCCAGCAAGGGCAAACAGTCTTCTGATACGTGGGTGAGGGCCTAAGGAAAAGAAAGGAAAGCAACTAGAGAGAAGCCTCCGCCACAGGCTCGCCACCAGGGCCACATTCATTGCCCGAGCAGCACCACAGAGGGCGTTCTCCTAAGTCCTAGAAACAAATAGAGTATTTGCCAGGGATTCATTCCCCTTAGGCTACAGGGCTAAGGAGGCACACTTAGGGACAAAGTGAGTACAGGCATTTCAGAGTAACACTGAGGGAGCTTGATAGCGAGGGGCGTGCGGGGTTAAGTGATGGCTTGGCAACTTTATATTGCTCTTGTATAGGACCTGGGTTTGGTTCTCAGCACTCATGTTTGGTGCCTCATAACCTAGTGTTCCAGAGGGTCCACAGGCTCTGGCCTCTAGGAACACCTGTACCTCTTTGCACATACTCACACAAAGACATACATATAATTAAGAATAAAAATGAATCTTAAAAATATGTAAACACTAAGCCGTGGGGGCTCACTTATGTCGATCTTACTCTATGCAAGCTGGTGCTTCCTGAGGGTGCCGTGGGAAGCTGTACCTGTGCTTTCCCACAGAATGGCTTTATACAATGTACTACTTTAATGCAAGATTTTCATAAAGGTTATTATTATATACTGAGTATAGTGCCATTTAGCTACAAGAACATTTGCTGTAGCTTTCTTTGTGATATAGGCATGACAAATGCTCAACAACAAGGCTTAGTAATATTTTATAAGTATTTTATGGTCGTTATAAATGTCTCAGGTGCTGGACAGTGGTGGGGCATGCCTTTAATCCCTCCTTCCTTTCCTCCCTCTCTCCCTCCCTTCTTCCTTCCCTCCCCCCACCTCTTCTTCCTTCCCTTCTTCCTTCTCCCCCTCTGCCTGTGGATGAAGTTGTAGTACTGTACTTGTGTGCTTCTGGCCATGATGATAATGGACTAAACCTCTGAAACTGTAAGTCAGCCCAAATTAAATGCTTTCCTATTTAAGAATTGCCTTGGTCATGGTCTCTCTTCACAGCAATAGAACACTGAACCCTGGGATAAGGACAAAAACACCCGATTCTCAACTGGGGTCTGCACTAACTACACATTTGGGGCAAATATTCTCTCTCCATGGAAGATGAACTTTACAGATCCAGTTACTGAATCTACAATGTCTGGACTGGAAAATTGTAGCTTTTGTCTGGTCTTAACCTTTTATGATAACTCCAGGATAATTTCTCAAATAAATAAAACTCAAACCTATTTGAACTTTTTAGAAACAAAGACACCATCTCCTTTCTGTACTGGGATAATAATAATCTAAACATTGAATATTAGAAGATTCCTTTTTGCTGGAATGCCGGAAGAACAAAAGCTATAAAAAGCCAAGAAGTGAAACTGGCAGAGGGTGGAAATCGGAGCCTGTACTCCAGTAACTTCCTCCTTTTAAAAAGTCTCAGAAAAAAATGTCCTTAATGTATCTAAGCCATAATATGACAGTTAGAAAAAAGAGTTGGGTGACTATTTCTTGTACTTAAGGTAAAATTAAACTTTAGCAAGATTAGGCTAACACAGAGTATGCAGGAAATATCCCCTCGAGGACAGCACCAGCACACTGCTCTGAGCAGCCCCTAAATTACCATGTCAGTGTCCAGCCCACCCTAGGCACTCCACAGATATTTATTTACACAGGAGTGAGTCAAAGCCTCTGTGAAATAACAAATGTGAAATGTATCCTTTGTTCTGTACAGGCATCATATTCGTCAGCAAAAAGAAGCAATACCAGTAATAATTATGGGGTTATTTTTTGACTTAGGGGCAAAAATATGCATCTAGTGTTAATCTCTTTGATGCACTTCAGATTCAATCCATAACATAATCTAACTTTAGCAATCTGGTATTTCTAGCATTTTCTCTGTAAATACCTCATACAACTGCAAGCAGATGGCATCTATGAACCCAACTTGCATACTTGGGATTTTATTCTTCTTCTCCCTGTTCATTAGATCCTGAAAATACACACAAACAGATCTGCGTTTATTCAAGGGATGTGGGAAAGGTTGGCTGCAAAAAGATGAATCAGTGGTTAGCTTAAGGGGTGCAAACATACACAAATACATACAGAGAGACATATATACACATATACATACATACATATACATACATGTACATGTATATATTCCCAATCCTACAAAGAAAAGGAAGTAACTAAAAAATAAGTGGTTCGGGAAGGATCCTTCTCTCCCATTTGAGATGCAAACATTCATATTAATAGGTTGCTATGCAAACACTCTTAAAGTCACTGTTCCCTTATGGAAATTTATCTCCACAGAACAGTAAAGAAGGGCAGTGCAGCTGTGTATCGCTGCGGTTTGTAACGATGAAAGCGGCAAATAGTACAGCAAAGGGAGTGAATTAAGTTGTGGCTGCATTTATTTCATGTAATTATGATCCATATATACCCAAGATCCTATTAGAAATGAAAGTGCCTTATTACATTAAAGTGGAGAAAACAAACCACAAGAGAATACAGGGCATGATGTAGAAGCAATGTTCATCCTCCTAGCTTGCTTTTGTAATCAGCATGTGTAATTCTTTTAAAAAGAGAGAAAGTGTTACGTAGTAAACCCAAGGAAAGGTGTCATGGAAGTGCTAAGAAACAGTATACACTTTAGCCAAGTGTAGTCACACGCTTGTCACATCAGCACCAAAGGACTGAAGACAGACAGCAGACTGATATACACAGTAAGAACCTGTCTCTAAAACAAGCATCTAATTTTAAAATGCAGTGAAGAGTTCTACCAAGAAAGCAGTAGACTTACAGCCGGCTCCATGTTCAGTTCTTTTCTCTCTCTGTCTCCTTGATCAAAGAATTCAGCTGCCACAAGTTCTGCTATCTGAAACACATGGCAGGCTGAGTGTTAGGGGGTAAGGCATGTCTTTCAAACAGAGACTTTGAATGAAGATAATGAAATGTAGCAAACTCCTTGTTTCCACCACATTAGTGGCATTAGGATGAAACAGTAAGAAGAAACAGAAACAATGCTGCATTTGCTTTAACCCCACGGTCACAATGCCATGGTCCTCTGTAACTAGGCAGAAAGCAACACCTTTCTGTTTGGTCAGACAATGGCAAGCCTGTGCCTACCTGCATGAATAACCACCTACTTATTGAGCAACCATTTCCTTCATTTTTTTAAAAAGTGCAGAATTCCTTAAGAATTTCATACAGTGTGTTTTGATCATATCCACCCTCCACTCCTTCCTTAACTCTTCCCAGATCTACCCCTCCTCCCCATCCCTCCTCCCCACTTCCTGTCTTCTTTTGAAAAAAATTATTTTTTTAAAAATTTTTGAGATTATAAATATAATTATAGCACTTCCCTCTCCTGCTTCCTCCTTCTAACCATCTCTATATAACCTTCCTTGCTTGTTTTCAAATTCTTGGCTTCTTTTTTTTCATTAATTGTTATAACGTGTGTGCGTGTGTGTGTGTGTGTGTGTGTATGTATGTGTGTGTGTGTGCATGTGCAAACACACACACATATATATTTCTAACTACACAAATACAAGCTGCTCAGTCAGAGTAATGAAACTTGTATATATATTTTCAGGGCTGACCATTTGGTATTGGACAATCAACTTGCATGCTGGGGACAATGGTTTCTCCTGCCCCCACTGTTCTTTAGTTGTCTGTAGTCTTTGTGAAGGGTTGAGGCCTTGCAAGCTTTCCCCAACCATGTTATCATGTCTATTGGTGCCATCCTTGTTCAGCTAACATTTGGATAGTCAGGTTGATGAGACTTTATGGATGTAGCTTCTGGCAGTCCTAGGAGACAAATGTTACAGCAAATTCCATGTCCTAAGCACCTGTTTATAAAAGGTATATGAAAGACACCACCAAATACTGTACTGAAACTGGTTGACAGGTCTTGTTTCTTGTAATCTCTCTTTTGACTTTTTCTTGCAATTTCTGTTGCTGATGAATATTCTGGTTTGTTTATCTTATAGTTTCTCAGAGTCTGGTTTCTGTAGAGCACCTCCTTATGATGCCACTTGTGGTTTTCTCGGGGATCAGCTAGATTGATCTCTTATTTTCTTCTCAGCCCATCTCCTTAGGCATGAGGCTGAAGGCTAATTATATGGCATCTGCCCCTCTTTTTGTGATACTGGTACTAATTGCTGGTGTTTTCTGGAGTCTATTTATTTAAGGGTTTTCACAAGAGTGACAGTCAAAACCAACACTTCTTGGGTTTATTTTATTAGTTTAAATACCCTAGAAAGTATCCCAGATCAATTACTTGATTGTGCTTCAATGTAATTCATATTGAAGAAAGCAGGTTTCCTCCAAGTATATCCGTTAACAACACACTAGGTTCTCAAGCATTTACCAGAGGGGACAATAGAAGGTAGTCAAGGACCAGCCTCGGCTTGGGGAGGGGTTAGGAGAGAAGAGGTGTTTGAGAGCTGCAAAGCAAATGAATCAAAGTCAAATCGTGGGCCCAAGCTGCTGGCTCACGTACTGCACAAGACAGCTTTCCAGACTGCTCTTTGTGTTCTGCACTCTGGCTTTCTCTTGCTGTTCTAAAAACTCTCTGGATAGCTCATCTCTGGCAAATCAAAAGCCTAGTTTTTATTTAACATATCAATTCAGTCTTTACTCCAAGTCGCCTTTTGATTATCCCATGAGTCAGCATCTTATGACCCCAGCCCCTTGATTCTTAAGAAGAGACAGCCAGCACAAGCAGAAAATAAGATAGCTGGGTGAGATCCTGTCCTGAAATCACCATTCTGACCACACCTGGACCTAAGTTCGCTTTGTCCCAGGTTGACCTTGAACTCAGGAATCTGCCTGCATTTGTATCTACCTGTCTGTCTTTCTGACAAGCTGGCTCATAGTGCAGCTGCCTCTGCTCCTTTAGATCTGTGAAGCTCCTGATACAATTCATATTGCATCCTTATATTTTACATAGTTGAGAAATTATATATTTTCAAACTCATCTTTTCAGAGTTCTTTTCCACAGCTTTTAGGGCTGTCCTGAAGGTCCCAGAATTTACCATTTTTGTTAAAGACATAGACACACTCTCAATTCCTGGACTCATGCTGTCTCTGATTATCAATGGAGTCATTAATCTTGGCAGAGAAGGCACTCCTCAAAGTAGGAATGTGAAAAAATGTATTATACATTTTTAAATTATTATTATTACTACTATTACACATACAAGCCTTATACCCCTTGCAACCATCAACACTTGAGGAAGGCCACGTCCTGCTGGCTCTGTTTCATGGGCAGGAAACTACATCATATTGTCACATGGCCATTCTGGACTTGGCAGGTTTCATTTTTATTAATAGATTTATTATTTAAATTATTGGATTTAAACATATTTATATATTTCAGTCCTTTGGGTGTTTAACTTCTTTCATTTTGACCACTGCACACTTCTTGGACTGGGTCTCTGTTCTCTGGACACAACTCTACGGCTTTCTGGAAACTTCCTCTCTTTCTGTGTAACAAGGCTGCCTGTGTTCACCTTCTTGCTCCCTAGTTCAACCAGTCATGTCTTGAAGGAGCCCACGGCTGCTCCAGACTGAGTCAGTCAGAGGCCACAGTCCAGCAGAAGCTCGTACCAGTCGCTGGCCGTTCGTTGTGCACTAACTCTTTCAGGGCACCGAACTAGAATGCTGCATAATTTCCCAGGATATTTCCAATTCAAACTCAGGACAATAGGATTTCTAAGACCACTTGCCTGAGATCCACACCTCTCCATTCGTATTTAAAACCCTAGCTCTCCACACTGCTCAAGCTTCATGTCTGCCTTTATCCCGTATCACCTACAATATGAATTGAGTGTCAATATAAAATTACCAGGCATAACGATTATCTTTAAAGATATTTTACATTTATTTATTATTTTATATTTATGAGAATTGTTTTCGCATGTGTATCTGTGTACCATGTCCATGTCTAGTATCTTCAGAAGCCGAAAGAAGGTATCAGACCGCCTAAGACTGGAGTTACATTTGGTTGTGAATGACCATGTGGTGCTGGGAGTTAAATCCAGATCTCCTTTTATTAGCCATCGCATATAGAGCTTGAGTCTGGCTAATTTCTCTGTGTCATATTTTTATTTTAAAATGTTTTATAATAAAGTTTTAATTATTAGAAGTCTTTTTATCATGATTTTGTTTTAAAAGTAGACCTTTTGTTTTTAAAAGTAGGTCTACAGATTTGAGCAGTTGCTGTTTCAAGGACTTGGGAAAGAATGCTTGCCTAACATGTACAAGGCCAGGGTTTCATGTCCAGCATCAAAAGTTAATCAAATTAATTAATGAAATTACTGCTTTTTATTTTAAAGATTATTTATTTATCTATTTATTTTTATGTGTGTATTGTGTGCAGTGGGTGTAAACTCCTGGAACTAAAGTTAGAGACACTTCTGAGCAACAGTGTTCTTGACCACTGAGCCAACTGTCCAATTAAATCATAATGATCATTAAAAATTACTTTATCTTTTGCATCCTCTCACGACTCATGCTCACTCCCTGGATTTTTCCATTATCTGCCAGTTACTCTTTCTTGCTCTCCTTCCTAAATCGCACTCTTCCTGCATGTACTATTGCTTACATCTACGGATATATACATAGCTATACATCTACATCCATATCTGTGTCTGCACATTATAGGGTAGGATCCAAATATTAGGAAGAACATAGTTTTTTCTTTCTGAGACTGTGTGACCTTGTTTAATATTATATATCCTAAGCTCACCCATTTTCATGAAACTTTTTGTGATGTTTCTTTAGCACTGATAGTATTCCAGCTTATATTTGTACTGTAGTTTATGATCTATCCATCTGTTGATAGACTTCCAGGTTGACTCCTATCCTTTGTTATAGTGGATAAGGCAGCAGTAAGCATGAGCATGCAAACATTGCAGTGACAGGGTATGGAGTGCTCTGAATACATGCCCAGGAGGTGTAGATGGGCCGTATGGCAGTTCTACCTTTAAGTTTTGGAGGAACCTCTAAACTAACTCCCATAATGGTTGTATTAACTTGCACTCCCACCAGCAGTGAGTAATGGTTACCCCATTTTCCATACCGTCTCCAACATTTGTTGTTAAATTTGACAAGAGCCATTCTGACTGAGGTAAGATGGTATCTCAAAAATAGTTTACATCTCCTTGAAGGCTAGGATTATTGAACACTTTTTAAAATAGTTATTGGCCATCTCTGTGTCTTTTTTCTTTCCTTCCTTCCTTCTTTTCTTCCTTCCTTCCTTCCTTCCTTTTTTTCTTCCTTTCTTTCTTTTTTTTGAAAACTTGTCTATTTCTTCGTTAGCTCACTAGTGGACTGGCAGTTTTATTTCCTAATCATAGCTGATGGAGACCTGCTCCCATCCTGTGGGTTGTCTGTCTGCTCTGCTGATGGTCTCCTTTGCTGGGGGGGGGGGGGATCTTTTCAATTCAGACAGGCCCAGGTAGCAGCTGTTGATGCTTGGGGCCAGTTTCTGTGCTGTGTAAGTTTTGCCAACCCATGGTCTTAGAGAATATTCCCTGTGTTTTCAGCTAGTAGTCTCACTATTTCAGGTTTTAAATTAAAGTCTTTGATCTATTTTGAATTGACTTTTGACAAGTGTTGAAAGCTATGAATCCTACTTCATTCTCTTGAAGGTAGACGGCAGACTTTGTCAAGATCATCTTTTGAATAGGCAGGCTATCTTCCCTCCCTGCAAAGGTATGCTTTTCAATCCTTTGTAAAAACTCAAGTGAGTATAACTTTATTGTTTTATTTCTGGGTCCTATCATTGATCCCTTGAAGTGTTTAATTTATAAAAAAAAATTTATTATGTGTGTGAGTTTTGCCTGCATATATGATGCACACTGCATGAAG